GGCTTTCAGTACAATTCAATCGGAATACAATGCAGTAGGGATGCATCCGGACTGCAATATCCATACAAAAGTAATGCAATCGGAATACACTAGGAACACAATCCACTAGGAACGAAATCTGAAGACAATGGGGCTACACTAGGAATAGAAGGATTGCTTTCGGAATCCAATACAATATCAAAACACCATAAAAAACACTAGCAATTCAATCGACATCCAACATGCACGAGGTCAACGTGTGAAACGTCCTTCGTTTTTGTAGAATTCCCTAATTCAGCCGCTATCCAGGTAGTATACAAGAAGAGTGCACGAAGGTGACGTGTGATTTTGTCTGCATCGGACCAGTCTGAGAGGTTATGCCGACGTGCTTGTTGACCATGCCCCGGTCGGAAACACGTCGTTACGCGTGTTCTCTGCCTGGACAACCTCCAAGCGCCATGCAATATGCAGTATCACACCCAGATTCCGTCAGATCCGAGTGCCAAGTGTTGCGGCCGATGGTCCACTTGAAAGCAGCGCTCGGGTGCGACGTTCCTGCAAGACTCGCGCAAGATGCCGTCAGAATGTGTGATTTGCTGACTTCAGAAAAGCCAGTGCCCGCGCTTTGAATTCATTTCCTCTTGGCTCGCTGGGAAGCCCGCCGCCTTCCGCATGTTCTCGAATTTGGTCCGGCAGTTGCAAGATTCGACGATTACCCTCGGCTGTTCGCTCGGGCTCGCGTCATTCGCAGTCACGTCTCGACATCCTTCCAGTAGCAGAAGAGTGCAACGTCTCGGTTATACGGCGACGGCCTTTGCTCTCGAGTGGCTGATGTTGTAGAATGGTCGCCGCTTGGCCTCCAACGTTGCTGCGGTTTTCGACGTTGCTGCGATGAGTAAGCACTACCCTACCCCAGTTGTGATCATCTCCGTTGCCAAGGTGCCGAAATCATTCCACACCAGCCATTCGTTGTGCAACCGCATACGGCGCCCATCATAACTGGGCCACCAATACCACTTGACGGTGGCACCAGAAGCAAGCTAATGTACAGCGTTTTTTTAAGCTCGTCATGTACTCCTGTTCCAAAGGTGTTCCATGCCACTCAGGGCCTCGGCAAAGACCCTCTATGGTAATGTTACCGGGTATGAGGGGTATCCATATATCGTGGCGCGTCAGTGATACATGACACTCAGGATCCCCGAGGATACACGAGGATTGCAAGAATCCGGAGGAATCCCGAGGAATGAGAATTCCAAACGGATTCATGGAGATTTCCGAAGGTTCCCGAGGACCTCAGAAGATTGCAACAGACGCCCAATCATTCCCTGAGGATTGCCGAATATGCCCGTGGATTCCCTACGGTCTCCGAGGATTCCTGAAGGTTCTGCAGGTTTCCTGAAGCATCCAGGCGTTTTTTTATGATCTGCGCAGATCGTTTAGAGCGGATTCCTGAGGATGCCGAAACTTCCCTTGGAGAATTCCAGAGGGTCCCTAAGGAAGCTCTTGCATTCCGCAGGATTCAATCGAACCCCAAGAATTCTCATCGATTCCTTGGGGTTCCCGAGGATTCCTGAAAGATCCCCGAGGGTTCCCGAAGATTCCGGGGGATCCCCGAGGATTCCGGAGGATTCCTGGGGAGTCCCGAGGATGCCTGATGATTCCTGACGATTCCACAGAATTTCTGAGGAGTCCAAGAGATTCTTGACGAACGAGTCCTGCGGATTCCAAAGTGCTGGTTCATGAGAATTTGTAAGAGTCTTCGGAGATTTCTTAAGAGCTATTTCGCCCCCCCGACAGGATTCTTCAATATTCCCGAGGGCTCCCGAGGATTCCGGAGGAATTCTGCAGAACCCAGAGAACGCCCGAGGATTCTCGAGGATTCTTGAGGCTGCCGTAGGATTTCCGATGGCACCTACAGATTCAGAAAAATTCCCAGAGATTCCCAAAGACTCCAAAGGATCCCTGCGGATTTCTGAAGGTGCCCGAGGGTTCCTAGGGATGTCGAACGATTCAGGACCGTGGGTGATTCCAACGGATTCTTGCGAATTCCAAAGGGTCCTAGGGGATTTCTGAGGATTCCAAAGGGGTCTTTTGGAATCCCGAGATTCCGTGAGACTTCCTGCGGGTTCTTGGGGGATCCTTGCGGATGTCGATTAGACGCTAGGTTTTTCAATGAAGAGCGGGAGGGGTTACCGAAGGAATCAATTGAACATTTTTCGGCACCGTGCCAGAATATGCGGCGACAAGAGGGAGACGTGCAAAACTGTTTGTTTTGAATTGTCTGATAAGCTCCACGCTAGCGTTCTACAGTGTAAAGTCCACGAAGGCGACGTTTGGCGCGACGCAAAGGCGACGGGAGCCCCTACTACTACTACTACTACTACTACTACTACTACTACTACTACTACTATTACTACTTCGACTACTGCTACTACTACTATAATGTTACTACTACTACTACTACTACTACTACTACTACTACTACTACTTCTACTACTACTACTACGGCTACTACTACTAC